CGCGCGCGGGCGGCCCCGCGGGCCCCGGGGCTGCCGTCGTGCCAAGGTTGAAACCAGGTCCTCCATCCACAGGTTCTCCCTCCGCCCTCCCTACACCTTGGTTCGACGCGCCCTCCCCAACTTCGTCCTCCCCAGTCGCGAATTCCTCTTCCTCCTCTGCGATGGGAGGCAGCGACCGGGGCAGGGCGGTGGGGGAAGCGGGTACGGACTACCAGGTGAAGTTGCGAGTTGTGATCGCTTGGCGTTTTTCGTTCAAGATGCGCACGCAGTCACGGTTGGTATCGATTCCCGGGCCGAGGTAAAAACGCTTTTGGGCTTTCGGCTCGGACTTGTGCGTGCGCTTGACCTTGTATACGGCAGGTTTGAGGAACAGGTACGTCGCCCCCGGCGGGGGAGGGTGCCCGTGCCACATCTCGTACGGCGATTCCTTCTCTGGGTTGAATGTGGTGGAGGTGCAATTCAGGGCGTTGCATGCCCAAGCTATGGCCTCGGCCCAAAGGGAAGGGTAGTTCGGTGCTCCGGGAAAAGAGTTGGCGCTTGGATACGGGCGGCTAGTGCTGCATCCTTGATCAGACCCAGTGCTTTCAGCTACACCGTTGTATTCTGGGCTGTGTGCGAGGGTGAACTCCTGTTTGATGCAGTACTTCCGGCACACTCTGCCGAACTCTCCCTCAAAAAAACTCCTCCGTTGTCACATCTCACGGCCATGACATCGGACGGGGCACCGTCTGCCCGATTTTCTACAAGGTACCTCTCGAATGCCTCAGCTGCGTCTGATTTGTGAATCAGAAAGTAGACACGGTTCCACTGTGTAATCATCTTTGACAATGAGAGTGCACCACTTCCCCCCTAAGCTCTGCACCCTAGCTTTTCCACTCAAATCCACGAAAACTCGTTGCAGTTCCTTAGCTGCTCGGGTCGACGTCTTGTTGGGGATGGGCTTGGAAAGCCCCTTAGCCGTCGAGCACCCTAGGCACTCCCGGAGCTCGCCCACCAGCGTCGTCCCCTGCTGCTTCGCCGTGGTCCTCAGCAGCACCTCGTGGGAGTGGCCGTGCGCGCAGCGGACATGGTTGATGTCGACCGGGGCGCTGGACGCTTCTCCGCGTTGCCAAGAGCAATGGCGGCATAGGCATGTTCGGTGTGTGTGCCGAAAACCGTTTTGGACGTACAGGTTACCGCATTGGGGGAAGTATACCGACTGCCCCCCCCCTCCCCCCCCGGTGTTTGCCATCGGGGTTGGGTTTTCGTCGCTTGGCAAATCGATCACACTCTTCGTAGCGAACGAACCCATCTGAGTTCGCGAATATGTGGGTGGTAGCGCCGGTTATCTACCCCGCCTAGCCTGCTCTACACCCCCTCGACCAACGACTTTGTGNATCGTCGAAGAGGGAAGTAATAGATACTAGGTTGAAATCTAGTCGGGGAACGTGTGCAACCCGTTTCAACAACAGGTCGGTTGCAGTCGCGCGAGCTAAGGGATACCGTCACGTCGCCGTACCCCACGATGGGGAAAAAGGCTTCTCCGGCGGCGACGCGTGCACCTCGATCACACTCTTCGTAGCGAACGAACCCATCTGAGTTCGCGAATATGTGGGTGGTAGCGCCGGTTATCTACCCCGCCTAGCCTGCTCTACACCNACGTCCAGTGCTGTGGCGTTCGCAGACGCACCCCCGCCGGCACTTCCACCACGAGCACCGTCTCCTCGGTCGGGCAAGTGTTCTTGTCGTGCCCGTAGCCCTTGCATGTCTCATATCGCACGGGTTTGCTCTCGGTGCAGTCGGCCACCTGGTGGCCCTTGTTGCCGCACCGGAAACAGCGACCGCGCATGCTACCCGCATCGTCGTCGTCGCCTCCGCCGCCGCCACCATCCCTCGCGCCACCCCCTCTCCCCTTCTGGTTGCCGCCGCCCCATCGCTACCGTAGCTCGCAAGGAGAGCGTGCTCCGCCCTCCGCTGACCGTTCGAGGCCTTCCTCTCCTCCGGAAGGCTCGCGTGCACCGTGCTCACGATTCTGACGATGTCGGCCCTATCCAGCGCCGTTGCTGTCTCCAACAGGAATTTCGCCTGCTGGTACTCGGGTGGGAGGGAACCAACGAAGTAGGCGAGAACGAAGGGTTGNTCCCTCGCGCCACCCCCTCTCCCCTTCTGGTTGCCGCCGCCCCATCGCTACCGTAGCTCGCAAGGAGAGCGTGCTCCGCCCTCCGCTGACCGTTCGAGGCCTTCCTCTCCTCCGGAAGGCTCGCGTGCACCGTGCTCACGATTCTGACGATGTCGGCCCTATCCAGCGCCGTTGCTGTCTCCAACAGGAATTTCGCCTGCTGGTACTCGGGTGGGAGGGAACCAACGAAGTAGGCGAGAACGAAGGGTTGTTCAGCACTGAACCCTTTTTCGCGCAGGCGTGAGTACAGCAGCTCGAGCGAGTTTAGGTGCTCGATGGGGTTCCTGCTGCTGTGTGTGGGGATCGTGAAGTTGTTGAACATCTTCTTCATGAGGGCTTGTTTCGAGCCCTGCGATTTCGGATCGTAAATTTTGTCGAGTTCCGCGAGGATCTCTTTTGCGGTCTCGCATCTGTTCACGATAGCCTTGTCGGCTTCTCTGACGATGGCAGTGGTCACAAAATGGAACGCTTGGAGTCCCCTCTGGACCTCGTCGCTGGTGTATTGGAGGCGGTGCAGCTCCGAGCTTGGCATGTTCGGGTTGCCGACAGGTGCATGTCTCTCGTTGTTGCCGATCAATTGGCCATCCAGTCCTACAGTCTTGGCCGCTTGGATAAGCGACTTTCTCCAAGAGTCATACCCATGGCCGCAACACTCCCCTTCGAGATGCGGGGCATTGACTGTTACTCTCTTCATGTGGCTACTGCTGTAGCCGTCGAGGAATTCTCCATTTCCTCGAATGACGGGTATCTGACCTGGGGGGTTTAACCCCCTCGCTTCCCCGTAGTCCGGTCCTATGCTCGGGCCCACTCCGGCTGGTCTCGCAGGATTCGCTCCCGATCTGCTGGCCCAGCCGCCTTCCAGCAGCTGACGTGGTCCTCCCCCACCATCTCTCGCTTGCTGCTGGAGAAATCCCCCGCCTCCGCCGTGCGGCTGCAGGGGCTCTTGTTGGCCTTCAGTGGCGGCAACCCAGCCGCCACTACTCGCTGCATCCGCCACGACGCTGCCAGGCTCCTTATCTTTTATCGACTCCTACACCAGGGGCCACCAATCGTGAGACCTGCAGTCGAAAACTTGCAAGCTCCGCATCCCCTGCCTTCCTGCACCGGCGGGCGGATCTGTTCTCCGCTCGCAGCAGTGCGCTCTTCGTCTCCAGCAGAGCTCATCCCAATGTGGCTTCCCTCGAGGGGCAAAAACCACTCTAGAGTGTTTGCGGCCTACGCCACTTATTTAATGAGACTGTGGTGATGTACTAACTTTTCGAGAGGTAGACGACCATCCTTCACACGGATGAAAGAGGGAGTGCTCAAAGAGNAGTGGCGGCAACCCAGCCGCCACTACTCGCTGCATCCGCCACGACGCTGCCAGGCTCCTTATCTTTTATCGACTCCTACACCAGGGGCCACCAATCGTGAGACCTGCAGTCGAAAACTTGCAAGCTCCGCATCCCCTGCCTTCCTGCACCGGCGGGCGGATCTGTTCTCCGCTCGCAGCAGTGCGCTCTTCGTCTCCAGCAGAGCTCATCCCAATGTGGCTTCCCTCGAGGGGCAAAAACCACTCTAGAGTGTTTGCGGCCTACGCCACTTATTTAATGAGACTGTGGTGATGTACTAACTTTTCGAGAGGTAGACGACCATCCTTCACACGGATGAAAGAGGGAGTGCTCAAAGAGAGGCTACCACAGCAAGGAGGGGCCCCGTGAATCATCGCGGCGCCCCCTACCAAACGGCAATCATACCAGTCTGCGTGACACCAAATCATCCAGCACATATATCCGACAACAATAATCGCAGACCCACGAACAGCAGCCCCGCTTTTCGGTGCCTCTACAACGCTCTCATTCCTCTACTAACCCCACACCCCTGGTTTCCTCACACCGTAGATATCACAGACCAACCATGACCACCGCGCTAGGTAAAAGCGGAGACCGTACTCACAAATTTACCCTGCAAAGCAGAAAAACAGAACACACCGCGATTAGGAACCCTGGCAACACACTTGAACTTACGTTCGAGGTACCTCAGCACTCCAGCACTGCAGATGGCGAAGGGACCACTCCGTATCGCCGTGAAATACATTCTCCCTATCGGTTGGTGCGTTTAGCTGACACCAACAATTCATCGTGTCACCGACTGTTCACAAAGCGGCAAAGGCGTACAGCAGCAGACTACAACAACAGCAGTTGACATCTACCGTACTTGTTATTTAGCAAGTAGCGCACCCTAGGTCGCCCTCGATTCTTCACATCCAGAATACAAGCCAACGAAAATGAAAAAGGCGGAGGTTTAGAAATTGTGTGCTTGTGTGCGTTTCGTTTCTGGCCGCTTCGGCTGCGCATAGACGGTGGCCATGGTGATGAAAACCCACAGTCCCAATAAAACCGCCACCGGGGTGGGACGATTGTCCAGATAAACTGCTGAATCCGATTTCACGGTACGACCTTTGAAGACCGTCATGACAGCGACCGGTACCTCTTAATCTGTTTCCTGGCACGCCTGAGATTAATCATATCCTGCCTCGCGTGGTTCGAGCAGAACTCTGCCTTCTTGCCACCGGCTAAATCAAATGTCGACTGCTTGATGCACGCTGGATGGCCACACCTCTTATGGCTGAGATCAACCATGCCCTGTTTCGCGTGGTATGAGCAGAACTCACGCTTTTTGCTGTCGGCTGCACCATATGACGGCCGCTTGACGCACCCTGGGTGGCCGCACCTTTCGTCCCTGAGATTAACCATGTCCTTCTTCACGTGCTTCGAGCAGAACTCTGCCTTCTTACTACCGGCTGTACCAAATGAAGGCTGCTTGATGCACCCTGGATGGCCGCACCTCGGGCGACTGAGATCGACCATGTCTTTCTCTGCGTGGTTTGAGCAGAACTCCACCTTCTTGCTGCCCGCTGCACCAGATGACGGCCGTTTGATGCACCCTGCGTGGCCGCACCTCTTGTTGCTGACATTGACCATTCCTGGCGTGGAGTTTTGCTTTCACAGAACTCCTGCTTCTGGCTGCCGGCTGTACCAAATGACGGCTGCTTGGTGCACCCTGGATGGGCTGTATCTCTTCGTGACGACGTTGACCTTCTCGGCTTCGCGTGCCTTGAGCAGAATTCCGCCTTCTTGCTGCTCGCGTTCCCGTAACATGCCCGAGTTGCGCAACAGGCCTCCAGACAGAACCGTTTTCCCTGTCGATGAGGTCTGGTGGTTGTGGGTGTTGGCTGTAGAAAAGAGGTCCAAAACATGACGGAGCAGCCCAGTTCCAGTGTTAATCGGTACTTTTCTCAGCCACTACGCAAGCGAAATTACGTCGTAGCGAGGACAGATCAAAACATCTGCGAGCATGTCCCTGCCAGCCTTCTAGACTGCTCAGACGTGTCGTGCAATCCTGTTGTATTTTATCGCCCACGGAATAATCAGACGTCGGTGTTCCGCCACGAATCTCGTTGATAAGTCGTTCTTCGTCAAATCAACGCTCTCCGCTTTCCAAGCTCCACTTAACTAAATGGTCACTTCTTACTCAAGGACGGTAGCGACAGCAGCTCTGACCAGCCGTGTTTCATTTGAGCATCGTGTCAAGCTGTCAGCAATTAACGCGCATTTTCCGCCACAATGTATTGCTTTGCATCCGACGCACGCCATATGTTTCATAATCCGTCTGGAAAAAGTAATTGATAGATTGAGTAGGGTGTTTGCGAAAAGAGTGAAATGGCTTGACTTTGGTCTTATTTTTTTACCCCGAACAGCCTTGTCCGACGGCGGGGTCCAATTTTGGTCTTCGGGCTTTGCTGAATTGCCCTCAAAGACCAGAGAAGAAGGACCATTTTGGTCTTGGCTCAGTTTGCTCTTTGTGGACAAGTTTCGGCAAGTTTCCTTATACCCCGAAGCACCAGCAGCACGCGAACTTGCGACGACATTGCGCGATTACGCCCGTGCAAGCCTCATGGTGACTCCGTCGGGGTACCGGACGACCGTGAGGCAGACGGCTCTTCACCAGAGGGCTGGTGCGATGCACGCGGCGGACATGGTGGAGCTCAGTTACTGGGACACAAGCATCTGTTTCCACCTCCTCTTCAGCGAAGCTGTGAAGCACCCGGAGATGCTCCTCGAGTAGGGAGAGGAGGGGGCTGCGGACGGAGACAGCGAGGCAGAGAATGAGGCCCGCTTCATGGAGTTCGGGATGCTTAATGCGAACTGGTGTTTTCTGCCATGCTCAACTAATGCTGTACGTCGTGGGAGCTGCTGTTGCTGTGTGTGGAGTGGGTGTAGGATCGCTGTTGTTGCTCTGTGTAAGGGTGCCAGAGAATTTGAAAATTTTCATGTGTCCACCACGGGGGTCCGTGAGCGTTTCATGTGGTACCCATCAGGATTTTCGCCCCGAAAAAGACCGCAGTACCCGTTCTGCGCTTCGCATACCCTTTCAAGACCGAATTCGGTTTTGGTTTCAGTCTTTTGTGTGATCCGCAAGGCCAAAACCAATTCACTCTTTCGCAAACACCCGAGTAGTGGGGGGGCGTATGGTTGGGGTGCTCGACAGAGTATATACTGTGTACGGCTGTGTACGGGGCCTCCGGGGGGTACGCGGATGAAATGTGTTGATGGGCATGCTGCATGGCGATACTGTTGCCTAGCGCATGTCTCTCACTCTCCAAGCAGCAAGGTCTTGAGTCAACCTTCTTTCTCATCGGTCTCTGACGAGCTACCGCACCCAAACACAATATATTGTAGGCCTGGTGTTGGTAGTGGGTATTGGCGTCTGAGCTGCATGTGCCGGGCCAATGGGGCGGCGAATACAATATTTATAGCCAAGTTGGGACGTGGCCTATGGGGTCGGGACAGCACGGCCGCGGTTGGTGTATAGCTGGGACGGTGGTCATCGGGGACCGGGACGGCAGAGGGTATATTGTCTGGGACAGCGCTTCAGGGCACAACAGGGTACGGGATATTTATCAAGTGTAGATTTTTGCGGAGAGAAGTTCGCACGGAGGAGACTACAGTTGTGCGGATGAAGATGGAGGAGAGGTCGCGCAACGCAGCAGAGAAGCTACAAGCTGCCGAGTCGGAGGTGGAGAGGCTGGTGAAGGCGCTTAGCGCTGCGGAGGCTGCCGAGAATGAGGCGGAGAGGCTTAGGCAGCAGCAACCACAACAACAGCAGCGCTGGAACCCCTTATGCCAGCTGCGTCTTGCCCAGCATACGCAGAATCAGCAGCAGCAAATACAACGTCAACAGCGGGCAGGTAGTGTCCAACCCCAGCCGTGACCACAGTTGCAGCAGTGGTCTCGTGGTGGTGCTACTCGTCAGACTGCCAACAGCCGCAGCAACAGATGTGACAGCATCAGCAACTTGTGCGTGCGATGCCCGCCCTTTTCCCGAATCGCCCGGGTGCCACGATTTTCCTGCGACACACCAGTGCCAAGATCCACGTGGTCCGCTCGGACAAGAGGGTGTACAACAGGCGTCTACCGCGCCCGGAGGAACAGCTGCTCATGTTTGCCGACGGCAGGCGTGTTCCGGTTAAATTCTTTGGCGGCGTGGATGTGATTTTCCATTGTCATAGAGATGTGCGCGTGACGCTCATGGGTGTTGGTGTCGGGCCGAGTTTGGCGCTGGACCATCTGTCTTTTACACGGATACAGGAAAGGTACAACATCGTCATGGACCCGCAGGGGGCGAAGACGATGGGTGGGCAAGTGCAGTTCACCGAATTCGCTCACGGCAACTACATTCAGGCAACCCGCGTCGATCCACTGCCTTTGTCCCCCGCGAGGGCCGCGGAGGTGATGCGGGCCAGAGCGGCGGCATCGGCGGCGATTTCAGCGGCGACGACGGCGGCGCCCGGTGGTCGTGTTTTCCCCGCTGTTGTGGCGGGGAGAATGGCAGGAGCGCCCGCGTTGGCGGCTGGAGCGGCGGCAACGGCGGCAGTTCCGCCAGCGGCGACGGGGGCGACATCCGGTGGCAATGTTTTCCCCGCGGTGGCGGCAGGGGGGATGGCCGGAGTCCCCGCGGTGACAGCAGGAGCAGCGACATCGGCATCAGCTCCAGCGGCGACGACGGCGATCTCCGGTGGCAGTATTCCCCCCGCGGCGGTGGCAGGGGGGATGGTCGTAGTCCCCGCGGTGGAAGCAGGAGCAGCAGCATCGGCGGCAGCTCCAGCGACGGCGGCGGCGACCTCTGGCGGTGGTGTTCTCCCCGCGGCGGTGGCAGGGGGGATGGTCGTAGTCCCCGCGGTGGAAGCAGGAGCAGCAGCATCGGCAGCAGCTCCAGAGGCGACGGCGGCGACCTACGGCGAGAGGAGGGCGTCCACGCACCCTTTCGGTCCCGGCACCGTGTGTTCGGGGGTGCGCGGCACAACTATCCCGGGGTGGACGACCTGGTCGATGGCTCCAGCAGCAGTAGCAGCAGCAGCAGCAGCAGCAGCGGCAGCAGTAGCAACGATGAAGCAGAGGGGATGAATGTGGCCTGGTTTGGGGCACTGCTATGCCCCTTTGACCCGGGGAAGCTGTACCGGCTGAAGGCTGGGAGAGTGGGGCCGGTGATGGGGGTGGACACCCCGTTCGACCGTGGAAAGATGTCGCGGGGGCAGCGGCCGGGGAGCCCGTGTTTGCGACCGGAGCAACGACAGGAGGACCATGAAGCGGGGAAGGGAGTTCGCAGGACCGGGCGAGTCCAACAATGACGGCAAGCAGCGCAACTTTTGCTTTGGTCTTAATCTCGCTGGGCACGTGATGTTTGAGTGCATATAATCTTTGCTTTGATTTGGTGCTGGGCAACCTGTTGTTTTTGTGTTTGGTCTTCAGATCCCAATAGATGCCGCACTTCTCACCGTTGTTTGAATGTCTGCAAATAACTTTTCCTATCGTTGGCGCATTCGCAGGTTTGGATTTGCTTTGGTGATCTGTACAGAGATGTCCACTCGTGTTTTACCTTGCAGGGACACTAACTTCCATGCCCAAATGGCAGGAAATTTCCATGGTAGCTTACTGTTGTTTTTATGGGAGGCAAGTGGAATGTTGCGGCCGGGAGGCTGTTGTCTGCTAGGAAAATATCTCCAATGGCAGTGGTAGTATAATTTCTGCCAACGGTTGGTTCTACTTTGGTTTTTCTTTCTTTGTTGTGATAACATTCTCCATGGCAGTTACAGCAATGTTTTTCTGGTGGTACTGGAACTGCGTAGGCGTTGGCTTGGCGTGCAACGTGTTGGGTAAGACGCTGGGGGGCACGTACCGTTTCTCTGTCCCTCCGATGTACCGGTACCCGAAGAGTCATCCTTGCGGAGTACCAATTTTCCTTCCCAAGTAGGCCAGTACGGTAGACTGGTATGTGCTGGACGTGTGACGTCTATTTCTTTGATATATGTTGGTTTCTTGTTTCGGTTTGAAGTTTTATCCATGATGGAGTTGGAATGCAGAATTCGCGTGCTGGATTCTGCGGAATCCGCCTGGTTGTTGCGCTGCTGTCGGAAATCATGGGGGGGGGGGGGGGGGGGGNGGGGGGGGGGGGGGGGGGGGGGGGGGGGGGGGGGGGGGGGGGGGGGGGGGGGGGGGGGGTGATACCATGCTGTTCGCCGCAGCACAACAAGCAGTATTTCTGACATTGGATTTGGTAGTACAGGTTTGGATTTTCCGCGTGTTCCTTGCGGATTTCATATGGAATTGATGATGTTGACTAATGGGATTTCGGTAGTTCATGTTTAGATGGATATTTTTCCGCCTTTTACCTCTGGAGTTGACATGGAATTGCGCATTGAACGGGATTTTCGTTGCGTTTATATGAGATGTCCCAGCAAAGGGGCTGTTGGATGGATTAGCGTAGATGGGGGAATAGAAACTGCATCAGTTTTGATGAACATTTTACTAGACGCTTGTTTCCGAACGCGTATGGAATGACATCATCGGTTTGTTTGCGGTCTTTGCTTTGTACTGGCATGCCTTGTGTATTGGAGGAAGGATTTGGCATGTTTCGGTAAATTATGGTTGAAGCCATTGTGCTTCCGAAGCTTATTTAGACTGGTCATTGAGTTGGACATGATTTCTATCTGACGAACTTGTTCTGGGTGATTGGGGCACGTTTTACCGGACTTACCCGTGCCCATTCTGACGCAACTCCGATGTAATGTTGATCTTTCCTTGGTATTGTTTCAAGGGTAATTGTTTGCGTTGGACTGCTTGAGAATTTGGTAGAGCATTTTCTCAAGAGGGTGATTTATTAATTGACAGACCTTTTGGGGGATATCAATTCGACATCATTAGAAGATTTCAAAGATTTCAAAGAACATGTTTTATTGGGAGATCGACATATTTCGTAGAACATTTTTTTAGAATGAGATTGCTTGAACTGGAATGAATGGTGGATGATTTCCGTTTGGATGCGTAGTTTGATTTGTTGCCGTCCTACTTGGCAGTGATAGTCGTGACGGGGATTTCGTAGATCCTATCTCGTACCGAGCAGGGGGGCTGTTTGGGGTGCTCGGCAGAGAATATGGTCTACGGGGCCTCCGGGGGGTACGCGGATGAATTGTGCTGATGGGCATGCTGCATAGCAATGGTGTTGCCTAGCGCATGTCTCTCACTCTCTAAGCAACAAGGTCTTGAGTCAACCTTCTCTCTCGGCCTCTGACGAGCTACCGCACCCAAACAGCCTACTTCACTCTGAACTACATTCTGCCCATTCCACTCGGAACATCGCTCATTCCCCTTCGCACGGATAGCCGTGGGTAAACTCGAAAGAGGCCCGCGGAGCTGTGCGAAACGAGACACGGAATTGTAACGCGTTTCGGACCACATCAAGTGTTGCGACAATCGTGAGCCTTGGGCCCGTTCGAACACATGCTCATGTAGTATCATTTCGGATGCTCACCATACGAAGCAAGTTTCTTGAATGAAACCGGGATGTGTCACCACTCTGCTTCTGGCTTCCAGCGTTTTTCGGTGACTTCTCGGCGACGAGTAGTCAAAAGAATACACACTGTCTGCATGCATTCCCCTTGCTTTTCCTCAGACACATTCAAACCCTTCCAAAAGACGCCGTATCGGCCGAAGGAACCGACTCGTTAGAGTTGTAAGTGTGGCTCATTTCCCCTCAGAGTCTTGCATATCAGTACTGGACACCACTTACTCCGGTACTCGATACCCCCAGAT